ACATGAACCAACAGCATGGACCAACGACATCAAACGCATATGCAGCGAACACATACGCAACATAGACATGTGCAACTTCTACATATGCAGCGAACACATATGCAACATTTACATATGCATCATCTACATGCAACATAGACCAATGACATAGACCAACGACACATAGCAACGACACATCTACACGTTAGAGTTCTACGTATTTTTGAAACAAATGGAACCCCATAATAGATTGCAGTAACACAAATAACTACATTTCCAAGAGAATCCAGGCTTGTTTGGGTTTTTTTAGGACTTTTTCTTTAGGATTTTTCACATAAATAGGGCTAAACATGTCAACTGATGGTCAATTCTTGAAGTGGACAAAAATATCGTATCTTAGAAATATGTGATCCTTTAGTGTGTTGTTACAATATAAAACTAAATGTTTCAGTATTTCAATTAAAGCTCATGTATCCATGCAGAAGATAGTTTTAACTCCGTGTTAAAAGGATTTGTCTCACGTTCATTTAATCTTCCTTTAGATTTCCGTTAAGGTCGCGGCTCATTTTGCATCGCAAAATTCTAATATTCAATATTTTTTTTAGAATGAATTCTGTTCTTGGGGCTGGTTTTGCTGCTGTGTGCTAATTTATTCACTTTAGGTGTAGCTCTCACAYAGAAATTGTGAATCTTTTCTGTTAAATTAGTGATTAAATTCAAAATGCATTGCTCAGCAGCTTACAAGAGCAAGCTGTTGTGGCTCAAAAGCAGCAAAACTAACACCATCATTCAAGAAAAAGTTCCTCCTGTAAGCTGCAGTCCTGTGTTTATCTTTCTGCAAACATACAGACACCATTTAAACCAAAGAGTTATACATGAAGTGTTGCTTAATGGCAGATTATCTTTTTAGGTAGTTTAGATTAAATTAGCGATAGTTACTTTTTAAACAATTTTACTTTAAGAGTTTATCAGTGCCTTACTTCTGCACTTATTGTAACACAAAATTAAACTTTTTTTTCAATATTTTCAAGCTGAATAAATGAATTCATTTAGTAATTAACTACCAATTTCGAGAGTATTTTTGTAACTTTTTTATTGTCCTGTATTTTGCTCTGATTTTATTAACTAAGTGTTCTTATTTTTGTAACAGTTTAGATTTTTTTTATGAGTATAAAATCTTTTTGTCCGATGACTGATGGAGCCAAACTGCTTAAGAAATATATAAATAACCTTTGGCAGCCTGATAAGCATCACCAGCCTTTATTCGCTGAGGTCCTTCAGAGGTTTTCCTTTGTTAGCGTGATATTACAACCCATCAAACGTGTGTTTGAAGATCAGACTTTGATAGATCCCAGCTCCTTAATTAAAAGAGGTCGCCCACTCAAACCTGATTACTATTCCACCTGACTCTCATTTCAACTCAAATGGATGGCAATAAGTAAAACGTTGACATAATTTCCCCACAAACACAAATACCACATTGAATAATATTTCTCGTTACCAAACTTGTTTTTATACAGGCGGCATGGTGGCACAGTGGTTAGGAAGGCCTGATGACTTTCTGTGTGGAATTTGCATGTTCCCTCTGTGCACTCATGGGTTTTCTCCAGGTACTCTGATTTCCTCTCACAAACTAAAAACCTGCATGTTAGGTTAAAGGGTAACTATAAATTGTTCAAAGGAAAAAGTGTGACTTTCATTGACCTTTGGGGTGGGGAAATTCATTCTCTGCCTCTTTCCCATCACACATGAGCACACACATGTGGAGCAGTGGGCTGCCATTTTTGAAGCGCCCGGGGAGCAACTGAGGGGTTAAGGGCCTTGCTCAAGGGCCCAGAGTGAGGCTGGTCAGGGAGTTGAACCAACAACCTTCCAATCACACGTTCACCTTCTCTAATCGTTGGTTGTATGTGTCCCTGTGATGAACTTATGACCTGTCCAGGGTGTACCCCGCCTCTCACACAGTGACTGCTGGAGATAGGCACCAGCTYCACATGACCTGGAAAGGAGAAGCAGGTTAAGAAAATAAATGGACATTTTTAGATCCAGTCTGGTTAATATTTGTGTCATATTTAATCAGAAATACAGAAAATTCTTCCACTGTCACGATCAGTTGAGAGGTTGAACCCRAAGTGCAGGCAGACATAAGGASCTTGAGAAAACAAATCACTTTATTTAACTACTCAAAACAAAAGGCAGACGTGACAGCAAAACTCACACAGGTGGAAACACAGAGAGCAACACAAGGTGAGCCAGAGACCGATGGCTTGGGCCAGTGGAATGACTCACCAAGGAACCAACAGAAAATTCCAGAAAGGAGAACACAAACACCTGACAAGGAGACAAACTGGAACAGGTGATAGTGGGCGTGACAAGCTGACTGGTAGAACACATGGGGGCACTGGAAGAGAGATGACACAAGGAACACCACACAGGAACCAACACAAGAACACCAAACCAAACCAATGATGAAAACACACAAACCAGAATCCAAACCGAGGCGAAGAACTGAATTAAAGAAACATAACACAAGGAGTGAATCAAATAAACACACAAAAACTATTAAATTCAAACAAGACACACAGACATGACATCAATAAGCTTATAGTTTAGTTTAGAGTATGATGGTTTGTAAACAAAAATCTACTCAGATGGAATTAAATATAGGCAAACATCAAACAAAATCCAAATTTTCATTAATCCATTCTTGGTCATGTTTTACTCAGAAGTTTAATCTGCTTTATTTCCAATTTGCATTCAGGCATGCAGCAGATCAATATTTATGACAGCTCAAGTAGTCTCTGAGTGATCAATGAACACAGCCTTCACACGATTGTCTTCTCTTGATAATTGTTGTCATTTAGTAAATATCTTGTTCTATCCACTGCTGACACAAACTTTTGAGCTTTGGAATACACCAAGCAAGCACATGAAAYACAGTTTTTATTAGATCTTTACCAACACTTTCCTAATATCTCTTCCAAAATTCTTTAATAATTTATGGAACCTTGAGGTTCACAAAAAATTCTCAAAAATGTATTTTGTTGTGTACTTGGAGTCTAGTGCAGAAAATTTGAATTTAGTCTTCTTCAATGCTGCATGGATTTATTYATATTTTTCAGCCCATTCAGTTTTCTCTATTTTCTATTGTGTTTTTTAAACTATTCCATCAAGTTATTTGCAACAGAACTGCCAAATAAGGTCTGGACTTACCAACTGCAGTTTGGTTGTCTTCATTCCCCTATGGCTTTGGGTCAGACTCTGGCTCAAGCATGTAAGGCTGGATGGACAAGTCTTGTGTTGTTGACATCTTTTAATTCATTTGTAAATAAAACCATTTCTCTGCTGCTAGATAGTCGTAAACCCCTCTATCAAACTAGAATGAACTGGTCATTTTCACTCTTACCTTTCATATTCCACGAGACACACAGAAAAGAGCTCTTGGGAACCCCCTCCCTCTGTGGTACACGACACAGCACAACCCTTTACTTAGGCTGCAAATGTGTCAAAGTTAAAGCACCACACTTTTTGGCAAATGGATTATTCTGTGCACAACTTCTCCATGAGTTTTTGGCCATTTGACAATCTTTAGTGTCTGCTTGCAGGTTGAGAGTCAGCTTCTTAAAGAGGAGTACTTGTTGGGGTGGGATGCTACCAGTGCTTTCCGAGCACTTTTCAGCATAAACAAACGCACAAACTTCTGACCAATCACACAATAATATTGTGCACCATGGGGGCAACTCCATCAGTGTGAGCATATATTGCAGGTTTTGATGGACTGTGCACAGGTTTTTAGGATTAGTGTGAAGAGCTCCATGATCCAGGTGGAGTTCAGAGAAGAGCTGCTCCTCTGCATCAAAATAATTTAGTTGAGGTGGTTCTGGCATCTGGTTTGGATGCCCCTTAAACACCTCTTTTTGGAGGTCCTTCAGGCATGTCCCACTTAGAAGAAGCCCAAAATTCACTGGAGGGATTATATATCCTCTGTGGTCTGGGAACACTTTGGGATTCCCCATTAGGAGCTGAAAAGTGTTGCTCCAGAGAGGGATGTTTGTGTTTCTCTCCTGGACCTGTCGCCTCTGTGAGCCGGCCATGAATAAGAGGGAGGAAATGATGGATGGAGAACGTATATGTGAGGTTTTCCTTTCTTGTTTTGATGTGTTTATTTCAGAGGTTCAGCAGGGTGACGTACAAACACAAAGAGGCTCAAGAAAAGGTAAAAAAATAACTTTATGAAATATTTTACTCCCTCTGCCCCACCTCTCTCTCTCTCTCTCTCTCTCTCTCTCTCTCTCTCTCTCTCTCTCTCTCTCTCTCTCTC